GATTAAGATAAAAAAATGTAATTTTTTCTTCAAAATATAAAGATTATTATATCTTTTCTTTTGAATAATTTTTCTAAAAATTATTCATTTTACGAATTTATAACAATACAAAAAGTTTTATGATATAAAAAAAATAATGATAAAATTTTAAGAACTTATCTTAGTTTTAACCAATATTTTATTTTTTTTTTTATGATATATAGATCATAATATATACTAATATAAAATACCTAAAATGTTATATACAAAGAATATTAAATTCGTAACATTTATATTTTTAACAAATTTATAATTCATTATTTATGGTTTACTATTACTATTAAAATAAACTATTATTCAATTAATTTACTTATTTTATCTGTTATGCTATAATATTACAATTATTAAAATACAGAAAAAGAAATATTTAAAAAATTAAATAATTAAATCATTACGTCATTTTTCGAATAAAATGAAATCAATTATATATATAAAATTTATATTATATTATTCTTCAAATTAATTACATAATTTAGATTAAGTTATCAACAAAGTAGATTTTGAATTATATTATTATTATATATATTATATATATTGAATTATATATATTATATTATTCTTCAAATTAATTACATAATTTAGATTAAGTTAGTACAAAAAAATAGATGGTGCATTTTTAGTGCAATTGAAATGTTGTACAATACTTAATATTATTTGATGATATACGATTCGCAATGATTAATTATGAAACATTTTACGTTTCTTACATTAGAATGCATTTATATATAATATTTAGAAAATTATCAAAAAATAAATAGATTTTGAATGAAAGAAAAGATGCATATTCAATATTATTGAAGAGAAAAATTTTTTTACACAAATTATTCTTATATGATATATTATATTATATATTATCTTATTTACGAAAACGATTAAAAAAAACGAAATAAAAAAAATACAAGATTCTTTTTTCATTTATTTATAATAAATAATAATATAATTTGATATTAGTATACATATTATATATATACACATATATATATATATATAATATCTTAATTATATATATTAATTATATATATAATTATAAATATATATAATTATATATATATAATATATAATTAGAATAATTTGTCAATAATCGATATAATATCTACATTATGTGTATATTAACATGTATGTGTATATTAACATGTATATATATATTATGTCTTTTTTGTCCATTATATAATAAATTTAATATAAAAATATTTATAATGATTCGCAATCTTAATTATAAAGAATTTATATAATATTTTAAAAAATATTCTAAACAAGATTGTACAAAAATCTACATAAAATATGTATTTATAGTTAATCATTTGAATTTTGATAAATTATTTTATACGTATTCTTTTCACATATATGTATATTGTGAAAAATTTATCATTATTACCGAAATTAATATTTGAACTATTGTAATTATAAAGTATTTTGAAAATTACATCAATATAAATAAAATGCACCAATAAAATAACGAAAACATATTGTATTATATTATTACATGTTAAAATATATAAAAGATAAACAAATTATATAATTTATATATAATTTATAAAATTATATATTTAATAAATCAATGATATTAAATTATTTTTTATTTCATGAAAATTATATTGTGTATAATTAATATGATATTATTTATCTTTTTATCTCATGATTAACTTAATTTTTCGTGTTTATATTCAAAAAATTACTTTAATGAATGTAATTAATATCTGAACAATAAAAAAATTATTTTTTTTTATAATTATTTAAAAAATAAATCAAGTAAATGTAAATATAATAATATTAGTAATATCAAGATCAATATTTGCATAAAAAATATAATAATCTAATCTAAGTATATTAATTATGATTGATTTTTATTGAATGATTATTTTTATTGAACATGAAAAAATAAAAAAATATTTCTTTCTGTTGTATAAAAATTCATTATTTTAAAAATTTGTAAATGCTTAAAATTAATATTTATATTCAATAAACAAAAAAAATTATTTATAATATACATATTTCCTTATTTAAAAAAAATTAAAAGATTCTATATATCAGATTTATTTCTATAACAATTATGTAATATTTTTTTACAATATAATATATAAGGAAAGAAAATATTACATTAAATTAATGCTAAATATATTCTTATGTTTCATATTTATATTTGTTATTGCCAATTTCATTATTCATAAAATATTATATTCATAATTATGAAGTCAATAAAATATTATAATTATAAACATTAAATTTATTGAACATCATATCCAATGAATGAAAAACATGCTTAAAATTCTTAATATGATAGTTCGAGAAAATTCATTTTGAATAGAAAAACGATGATGCAAATAATGATGCGATGATATGATGATATTCATTAACTGAAAAATACTGTTTATAAAAGGAAATCTATATGTAGCTATTTGTAAATATGAAATCGAATATATATAATATAAGCTATAATACAATTATATATAACTACGAACTAGGTCGACATATATGTACATATGTATCATATTAAATACAGTGTATCTTCAGTTCAGCAAATAATTTAACTAGATCTTTAACAGCTCTTCATTATCTTCTTAAAATTAAAATTATATTTTTTACTATTTCGTTAATATTTCATATATTTTGATTGAATTTTTATTTAAAATATAGGATGAAAAACATTATTCATTCATAGATACAAATGTCGTTTATCAGATTATATATATTATAAAATTGAAGAAATAATTATAAAATTCAGTATATGAAAAAAATGCACTCATTAAAAATGCAATATATTTTTAACAAATTCAAATTTTATGATAAATTTTATGATAATAAAGAAATTTTATGCTTAAATTTTTGAAATAAAAGTCGAAATTATTTTGCATTGAAAAAATAAAAATATTTTTAATATATTATATAAAACTTATATAAAAATTTATATTTGAAATAATATTAATTCTTATACATTTTTTATACGTTCGTATACATAAATAATAATAATATATATTAAAAATAAATAATAGTTAGTAATATAATTTTTAATTTAATATTTTTATTTAAAAATTAAATACTTATATTCTATTATCAATTTGTAAATCTAACTCGATCAAATATTTTATTATAAAAGCGAAAATTTCTATTTAGTGAAACTAAAGAATCAAATTTATATAAGGTATGATATATATTTGAATAAAATAAATAAATATTATAATATTATATATATAATATTATATTGCAAAAATATGTTAAAAAATATAGAAGAACAATATTTTTTTTATTCATATATATGATCAATTCGAAACTTTAATTTAAAAAAGTTTAATAAAACTTTATTAATTACATTGAATATGATATGTATGATATATAAATATGTAAAAAATTTTTAAGCATACATACATTGAAAATCCAAGCGATGTTTAAAAAAATATTCACTAATTAAATAATAAGTATTAATAAAATATACTTGATATATGATTATCGTTCACTCTATACTATAAACATTAAATTAGGAGTGCAGTAAGAAAAAAATTGCCATAGTCTTTCAGGCAGCAGTGCCTGAAGGATAAGTGAAAATGGTAGGAAGTTCGGTGGGAAAGAAATACATTTGCCCCACCTTTCGGAACAAATCTCCCTACTCCTCTGAAATGTTAGCACGTCGCGCTTCGCTATCTCACGGAATCACGGACAAATCAAACATGGCGATTCAGTCGCTGTTTGCAGTGAAGACGTACGGTTCGTAAAACGGGAGTGGAAGGTATTGGTGGACGAGATAGTGTTTTTAAGCGGTAATGAGTGCTTGTATCACTGCAAATCGCCGAATTTTGGTCAATATTATAAATATGGAGAATCATGATGTCAAAACGGTAATGGAGAAAGTGTCGGACGGCATTGATAAAGTACATGACGTGAAGGGCGTACAAGCAGAGCCGACGCCTGCGGCGTCATCGTTGTCATTGCCTGTTTCGGAACAAGTGTCGCTCTCTACCGGAGAAAATATCAACAAAAATAATTATATTAATAAGAAAACCGTAAGATATTTGCTTTAGTTTGAATATTTAAAAATATTGTGCTACATGAAAAGTTAAATATTTTAAATATATCATTAATGTAGTTTTGTATTTTTACAATGAAATTCAAATAAAGTTTAGTAGTATTAATCATATTAAATGATTCTTAATTATAAAATTTTTAAAATAAATGTTACAACATAATATGTAATAAAATATATTTAAAGCATAAAAATATATTGAAAATTAAAAATTAATATAATTGTTTCTATGTTTTAGTGTTCTAAATTATTAATAAAAAATTCTGGAAAATTTGAAAGTGGTAGTGGTAGTGGAGATCAGGAGGGAGGTCAGCATGAAGATGGAATTGATATTGCAGCGAAAAAAAGAAAAACTCGTAGAGGTAAACCTAAACATAGAAAATTAAAACCATATTCAAAACAACAATTATCATATCAACAACAGCTGCGATATAGATCTAGAGGTCGATTAGCAAAAACTGGTAGACAACCTCCAGCACTATATAACACCACACAATTTCTTATGGATGATCACAGTGATCTTCCAGATCTTGACCAAAAGCTTTCAGAAGCTGCATCATCAGAATTACCTGCTACATTTCAAAAACCATCAGCCCCCTCTCGTACTCGAGATTCTAGTTTCAGTGTTGACTCTGATGAAGATTATTTTTATTCGTCTCCAGAAGACGAAGAAGAATTCTTGACAAAGGAATTCTCAACTGCATATGAAGATCTTCATGCTGAAAGATTAAGCACATTAAGTAAATCAGAACTAATACAGGAATATCTGCAATTAGAAGCAAAAGTAGATTTATTAACAAAACGACTACGTGGTAAAAATTTTCATCAAACAGAACAACGAGACTTGGAAAGCAACAGTAGTAGTACAGATTCAGAATCAGCAAAAAAGTTAAAAATCTGTCAACAACGAATTGATGATTTAATGCAACAAAATGAACAATTAAAACGAGAAAATGAATTATTAAGAGCTAAAAGGGACGGCAGTCCAGTTTCAAGTGTTGATAGCGAAAGCGACAGTGATAGTACAAGTAATGAGAATAGGAGCAGATGTAGTTGTCTCCTTCCAAATTCTAGCTCTTCTTCAGAACTTATGGGATATGTTTCTAGAAGTAAAAATAGTCAGAGAAAAGATAGTTCTGTCTCTAGTACTGATAGTAAAAGTGATACTTGTGATAGTAGTTCAAGTGAGAATTCTAAAGCATCTATGACCCCAGTTAATCTTTCAAATGGTCATGTAACCATTCAAAAAATTGATGGTCTCCCTACATAAATTATAAAAAGCTGTTTTTATACACCACCATATAAAAATCTATTGAATGTTTTAAAAATTAACTTACAAGTCATGTTAAATATGTCATTAGTCCTGCATATTTGCTTTAATCCTACCAATTTAGGAAACAAGACTGGTTTAAATGCAATATTGCATTTGTGCAGTAAAAAAATCCTCTTTCAATATAAGATATGTAACCTAGATTGTCCTTAAATGTGCCCTTATAATTTACTTCCCATTTCTTTTAAAACTGTTTTGTGTAAACTTAAATATGTAATGGAATAGGAAATACATACCTAATCTTATGAAAGAGTAAAATTTATATTTATGCAGGCTAAAGTATTACAAAAAGCTGTATTATATTTGTGGTGTATTCTCTATATTTTATCTTCATTTGATAACAATTGTGATGCAGTTAAATAATTGTTTTTTAGTAGTCTGTTTTCAATGAACTGCCATTTGATGGTACAAATGTATAAATTTGGGGTTTACAGACCATCAACTAATAAGTTATAAAACTAGATCTAATTAAAATAAAGTTATATTAATAAATTAATAATAAAAGTAATGTGATATTGTACAATTGTATAAATTAAAGTATCATATTAGTTTATGGTCTGAATATAAGATATGTTAAAAATATTTCACATATTTTAAATTTTTAATAAATTTCAAAGTTTCTTTCTTTTATTATAATTATTCTCCTGAAACTTAATGCAAAGAAGTGAAGAGCTTCTTCTAAAAAAATTCTTCAACAATGTGAATATATCTGATTATGAGATAGCTTTATTATGATAGAATATAAGATCCCCATAAAAATTTAATAAATATGTATATTGTTAGTATCGTAAGATATATTGTAAAATGTACATACAATTTAATTTTTTTTATTTCTTAAAAAGTGATAAACGGAATTCTATCTATAAAAAAGTGTTTTTTTAAGAAATTAATTTAAATAACAAAAATTTAAATAATTGATTTACATTTTTTATTTGAATATGAAATATATAATTTTTTTGCATTTTTTTTTATGAAATTACATTTCAATTCAAATATGTATATTTGCTGAATAAGCAATATAAGAAGTAACTTTTGTTTAAAACTTTATTTTAAAATATTCCTTATGTTTATTGTGAACCAGGCTTAATACACTGTGAATCGTTGCTAACTTCGTGGCGCGTGAAATTGAAAAGCACGCAAGGCCAGCGTTTGGTCGTATCTTATGGTTGAAGTGTTAACAAGTTTCTAAAAGTTGTTGGATTAAATATTATGAAAGCGATGTCTCATCATTATGTGGTAACGGCACACAAGCCTACAGCTGTCACCGCATGTGTGACAGGTAAGTAAGAGAAATGTACAAAAAAATTCTACGCTTACGTAGATAAACAATTCTTTTCTTTTTACGTATCAAGGTAATTTTACTTCCCCTACGGATTTGAACCTCATTTTAGCAAAAAATGTTCGATTAGAAATATATCTTGTTACTCCAGAAGGTTTAAGACCATTAAAAGAAGTTGGAATTTATGGAAAAATTGCAGTTGTTAAGTTTTTTCGGCCGCCGGTAAGGTTATACTAATATCTTATTTGTTAATTTTTATAAATTATTCTATTCATTTTCATATTTTCATGTTAATATTAAATATGATAAAATTTATATATTTTATTTAATACATATATATTTATAATATTTTTATTTTATTAAGAATAATATAACCTTATATGTACAAAAAATTAATTATTTTTCATTCATGTACATATATTATTACATATAAGTATAAATAATAAATATAAAATATAAATAATCTATTAATATGATTTTTAAATCATATTAAAATAAATTATATATAATAATATGTAATTAATTGATTGAAATATCTCTACAGCATGAAAAAAAAGATCTTTTGTTTCTTTTAACTACACGTTATAATGCTATGATTTTGGAATGTATTGGAGAAGGAGAAAATATAGAAATTATAACAAAAGCACATGGAAATGTAGCAGATCGTATTGGAAAAGCTTCAGAAACAGGGATCAAAGCTGTAATTGATCCTAAAGCACGTGTAATTGGTCTACGATTATATGATGGTCTTTTTAAAATTATACCTCTTGATAAAGATAATCCAGAATTAAAAGCATCATCAATACGTATGGAAGAACATCAAGTACAGGATGTAAATTTTCTTCACGGATGTGCTAATCCTACATTAATTTTAATTCATCAAGATATTAATGGAAGACATGTTAAGACACATGAAATTTCTTTAAGAGATAAAGAATTTGTTAAAATACCTTGGAGACAGGATAACGTAGAACGTGAAGCTATGATAGTTATTCCTGTACCTTCTCCTATTTGTGGTGCAATAATAATAGGTCAAGAAAGTATATTATATCATGATGGGAATACATATGTTGCTGTTGTGCCTCCAATTATCAAACAAAGTACTATTACATGCTATGCTAAAGTCGATAATCAAGGACTTCGTTATTTATTAGGAGACATGGCTGGACATTTGTTTATGTTATTTGTGGAACAAGAAAAAAAAGCAGATGGTACGCAAGTTGTGAAAGATTTAAAAGTTGAACTTTTAGGAGAAATTAGTATACCAGAATGCATTACATATTTAGATAATGGAGTAATATTTGTTGGTAGTAGACTGGGTGATTCACAATTAGTTAAATTAATTACAAAAGCAGATGAAAATGGTTCCTATTGTGTACCAATGGAAACATTTACAAATTTAGCACCAATAGTTGACATGGCAGTAGTTGATCTTGAAAGACAAGGTCAAGGACAGATGGTTACATGTTCTGGAGCTTTCAAGGAAGGTTCTCTTAGAATTATAAGAAATGGAATAGGTATTGAAGAACATGCAAGCATAGATTTGCCAGGTATCAAGGGTATGTGGGCATTAAAAATTGGTGGTGGCAATTTTGATAATACCTTGGTTTTATCTTTTGTTGGACAAACCAGAATTTTGACCTTAAATGGAGAAGAAGTTGAAGAAACAGATATTCCAGGTTTTGTTGCTGATGAACAAACTTTCCATACTGGGAATGTTACAAATGATTTATTTATTCAGATAACGCCAACATCTGCCAGATTAATTTCATATGAAACTAAAACAGTTGTTTCTGAATGGGAGCCAGAAAATAAAAGAACTATTAGTGTAGTTGCTTGTAATGGTACACAAGTACTTTGTGCTACTGGAAATGATTTATTTTATTTAGAAATTTCATGTGGGCAAATTTTACCAAAAGGATTTACTACTTTACAATATGAAGTTGCTTGTTTAGATATATCTCCATTGGATGGTAATACAGAAGCAAAAATTGCTGCAGTAGGTTTATGGACACATATTTCTGTTCATATTTTAACTTTACCTGCTTTAGAAGAAATTAACAAAGAATTACTTGGTGGTGAAATTATACCTAGATCTATTTTAATGACATGTTTTGAAGGTAATACATATCTGCTTTGTGCTCTTGGAGATGGTAGCATGTATTATTTTACTTTACACAAGCAAAATGGTATACTTTCTGATAAAAAGAAAGTTACTTTAGGTACACAACCAACAGTTTTAAGAACTTTCAGATCATTGTTCACCACTAATGTTTTTGCATGTTCTGATAGGCCTACTGTAATTTATTCGTCAAATCATAAACTAGTATTCAGCAATGTTAATTTAAAAGAAGTAAATCATATGTGTTCTTTAAATGCAGAATCATACCCTGATAGCTTAGCATTAGCAACTGATAGTACAGTAACAATTGGAACGATTGATGAAATTCAAAAATTACATATTCGAACTGTTCCTCTTGGAGAATCACCAAGGCGAATTGCTTACCAAGAAAGTTCTCAAACATTTGGAGTAATAACAATGCGTGTTGACATCCAAGATAGTAGTGGTGTAAGCATTGTAAGACATTCAGCATCTACACAAGCAGCTTCTACATCTAGCAGCAGTCATATTGCATCTTATAATAAACCTACAGGACATACAGCTAGTGATATTTGTCAAGAAATTGAAGTACATAATCTACTTATCATTGATCAACATACTTTTGAAGTTTTACATGCACATATGCTAATGCCCACTGAATATGCACTATCATTGATATCAACAAAATTAGGTGAAGATCCTACTTCTTATTACATAGTCGGAACTGCACTTGTTCATCCAGATGAAACTGAACCAAAAATGGGTAGAATACTTTTATATCATTGGAGTGATGGAAAACTTACACAAGTAGCTGAAAAAGAAATTAAAGGATCATGTTATTCTTTAACTGAATTTAATGGAAAACTTCTTGCAAGTATAAATAGCACTGTTCGTTTATTTGAATGGACAGCGGAAAAGGAACTCAGATTAGAATGTAGTCATTTTAATAATATTATTGCTCTTTACTTAAAAAGTAAAGGCGATTTTATTTTAGTTGGAGATCTTATGAGATCTCTTACATTGTTGCAATATAAAACAATGGAAGGTTGTTTTGAAGAAATAGCAAGAGATTATAATCCAAATTGGATGACTGCCATTGAAATTTTAGATGATGATACTTTTTTGGGTGCAGAGAATTGCTTTAATTTATTCGTTTGCCAAAAAGATAGGTAAATTATTAATTTGATAAATTTGTATTATATTTGTATACACATTAATATTATAAAATAATATATATATAATATATATATATAATATATATAATATATATAAAATAATTAATATATATTATAAAATAATTTATTATAAAATAATAAATTAAAATGTATTTTAGTGCTGCCACTTCAGAAGATGAAAGACAACAAATGCAAGAAGTTGGACAATTTCATTTGGGTGATATGGTTAATGTTTTTCGACATGGATCTTTAGTAATGCAAAATTTAGGTGAATCAAGTACACCTACACAAGGTTGCGTATTGTTTGGTACTGTTAGCGGTGCAATCGGTTTAGTTACACAAATTCCATTTATATTTTATGAATTCTTAAGAAATCTTGAAGATAGATTAACAAGTGTAATAAAAAGTGTTGGTAAAATAGAACATAACTTTTGGAGAAGTTTTAATACGGAATTAAAAATTGAGCAATGTGAAGGTTTTATAGATGGAGATTTAATCGAAAGTTTTCTTGATTTGAGTCCTGATAAAATGGCAGAAGTTGCAAGTGGTCTTATGGTACATTAAATTGTTTTTTAAATTATATAATAATATATATATAGCTTATTATATTTTTAATTCATTTTTTCATTAATAGATTGACGATCCCAGCGGCATGAAAAAAGAAGCAACAGTGGATGATCTTGTAAAAATAGTGGAAGATCTTACAAGGATACATTAGACAGTTTTTGCTGATTCTTGTATAGTTTATTATATTTTGAAAAGCTCACGAATAGATTTATAAGAAAAATCTTAAATATTTGAGAAACAAATTAAGAAATGTATAAACATTTATGTATTTATCATTATTAGTACAAGATACCAACAAACTATATTTTTCTTCTTTCTAATTTTTGTGGAAATCATATTGTTTTATTTTCTTGTTGTATATGCTTGTACTCTTTAATGCTGTTTATATTATCGTGATAGTTTGCATCAAATTTCGTACATGCATATAAAAATAATCAAAAAGTTTCTAAACTTATTTTAAAAATATACTATTGATATAAATCAATAAAAATAAAAATTAAATATTTTCAATATATCTATTCAAATATTATTAAAATTGACATACCAAATACAATATATTTCTTATAATAATAAATAACATTTATTTAAATAGTATTTATTTTAAATTAATTTAGAAACTTTTTGATTGATAATTATATAATTTTTTTTAACATTTCGAAAATATATTAAAAAATACATGAGTTAATTAATTATATTAACATTTCAAATTATACGAATCTTGTACGCTCAATATTAAATAATTTCACTTTTGAAGAAATTTTTAGATTTTTTAGAAAAACCTGACAAATGTTATTGAAAAGTTATTCGTAGAATCCTTATATTATTTGTAACATTGAGTGTAAATAAAAAAAAAATATCCACTTTCTGATAAAATTATTTTGTACTATATTAATTTTTACTTTTTTGAATTTATTGAAAATTTTAAAGAAATCGGATCAAATAACCAGTTTCTTAATTCTTCAATACCTTGATCAGTCATTCCACTAGTTTCAAATACAGATAATTCTTGAGTAACTTCTTTTTGCAAACGTGAATATTGTAGCATAAGTAGGGCTTCATTGCGCATTTGACGATAAGAAAGATCCATTTTATTCAACGTTAATGCGATTTTTATATTTCGCAATCTAGGATCAACTAACAATGAATAAAGTAATACTCCTGCCGCACTTATTTGACAAAGATTGCTTGTATCTATTACATAAATAAGTTTTTGTGTCTAGAAAATAAAATAACTTCTATAAAATTATAAAATGATTTTGGAATTTAAATTCAAAATTTTTATAAAAAAATTCACCTTGTCAAAGTAATGTTTCCATATTGGTGCCATATTTCCACCTATTTCTTTAATAAGCATATCAAATTCGCCAGTGTCATTTTTTATGGTAAAAAGATTTATACCATTTGTAGAAACGGTATGAGTTGCATAGTCTATTTCATCTCCTTGTAAACGTTTCATTAAAAATGTTTTTCCCGATTTAAGAGGACCAAGACAAAGACACATATTAAATCTATTAATTTAAAAAATATTTATATTGTTACGCATTCGTAAATTAATCATATATTTTATATGTATAAATACAGAAATTTATTGATTTAATAAATCTTTCTATAGTAACTACATTGTTTATTAATATCAATTGATTATTTCATTGTACAAAATAAAATTTAAAATAATGATATAATAATGTTTAGAATTAAGTAAAATAAAAATAAAAAAATAACTATAAAATATAAATATTTTTTCTCAATTTAATTTTTAATTATACAAAATTTTAATTTTGAGATTTAAATATTTTATTGCATTCGTTTATGTATGATTTTCGTATAATTTAATGAAAATGTTTAAAAACTATTATTAATAAATTATTGTCATTAATTTATATAGAAAACTCTTTTTCAAAAATAAATATTACGAAAACAATATTTTATTATTATACTTATAACAAATACTAAATACATAATGAACTTATAATTTAGCATATTCATTGATATATGTAAATAATAATATAATTTATAAATACAAAATGTTAATTAAATGAAATAATATATATTAAAGATAAAACAAAATATGATATAATTTTTTTGCATATTATATTTTCTTAAAATAAAAATTTTCATAATATATTAATATAAATAAATTTTTTTAACATTTTTTGTTAATATCATTGACAGAACCACATCTTTCTTTTAGTTTATTAAAGAATATATTAATTAGTAATTATAATATCATATATAAAAATTAATATAACAATTTAATAATAAACATTTACAACGCGAAAATTATTTTAGCATTTCTTATTTGAAAAGATATGTATTCTATCAATATAATTAAATTCATATTTCTTATTTATTTAATTCAAATAAATTTTTCCATATAAGTTTAATATACTTCAATTTTTTGCAATTAAGCAAATTATGAAATGTTGTCAACTACTTATAAATTTAATGTAAAATAACAAATATAATTATTATTAACATTATTACATTTATTATGTACTTAGATGATATATAATTTGATAACATTTAAAAATGCAGGTACAAAAGAAAAAAATAATAAGTGCACAAATTTAAGAATTTTAAATGATAATAATGCTTTTTTTTTTTTTTTTTTTTTTTTTTTTTTTTTTTTTTTTTTTTTTTTTTTTTTTTTTTTTTTTTTTTTTTTTTTTTTTTTTTTTTTTTTAATATGTATTGTTGTTGTTGTTGTTATTGTATATAATTAAAATTACGTTTTTTGTATTTTTTATTGAAGAATATAAAATATAAAAAAAAAGTAATTTATATTCCGCACAAGGCACAGGAAATTTATTATTCCCAGTAGTGCGAATTGTGAAGTGTTAAAATAGAATAAAGAGTAAGACTCTAATAAGTTTTTTGAATTTACTATAAATACTCGTATTTTACCGTGAAATATCAATAATTTATCTAATTTCCTGTACAAACATATTTATATTATTTATGTGCATTGTTTCTTAAATAAAATTATATATATTACAGATCAAATATTTTGAATCTGTACAAATATTTTATAGACGGTCATTGTAAATAGATTGTACTCCAAATTTAAAATTTTTTCCTAGGAGCACGACTAGATTAGGATCTATCAGTTCAAATTTGATTCAATAATAAAGATAGTACTTGTCGAGGCATTTGCCATGATTGCAAACGTTTATCTTTGCTACCAGCTATAATCTAAGAAAACAAATAATTTAATATTATATTTAATATAATATTTCAATAATATTTTAATAAATATTTTATTATAAAAATAAGATACCTTATTATCTATGACTTCCATACTTAATAACATATTACCAGGTCCAGGAATATTACATATAAGTCGATGATCCTAAAATATGAAAATTAATATAATTTTTACTATTAATATTTCATTATTATTATTTATATTTTATTATGCTTAATATTAACCTTTGTATCAAATACATAAATATTTCCATCATAACAACCAGCAAATAATAATTGTTTATATAAACGCATGCATACGATTCCTACACCAGCATTATATTGCATTGTTTGTTCACCATTCTATAAAATAAAAAAAAATAAAGAATGATTTTTACATAATGTAATATTACAATAATAATGTGATAAGATATATATACTATTATTACGAACCGTAAAATCAAATACAGGTATAGACGTACTACTCGTACCACAATAAATCAAATTATAATCACGCATCAAACTATATACTGTGTGGCTTTTTTGACCACAAATTGTGCGAAGAAATAGGCCGTTCTGAGCATCTCGTATTGTTATCGGTTGATTACGCGATGCTACAATAAGAACTCGTCGTGGACCCTCATTAGTTGCTTTTAAAGCTAACACAGATTTATCTGAGAATTGTATGCTATTTCCTTTAATTACACCTGACTGAAATATTCATGTATCTTTCATTATAAAGATAATATTCATATCCAATATAAAAATAATTTTATTTTAAAAGTTTTTCAACAAACCTTTATATGGTAACGTGATACATGACCTGATTTAGTACCAATAAAAATTATTCCCCATGCTTCATCCATACATTGTATTGGACTATTTATATCTGCTGTATCTCTTATTTGTATTCCAGTCTAAATTAAATATTTATAATAGAATATTTAAGAATATAACAACATAATAATTTAATATATAATATATAGAAAAATGAAATAAATAACATATATTACATTAAATTTATAAATAAATATATTATTTACCATTATATTATAACATCGTAAAGTTCCATCCAATGAACCGGAAAACATCCATTCTTTATTAATATCTATACTGTTTGCATTATATACATATAAACAAGTAACTGCTGCTTTATGACCTTTATAAATGTTTAATATTCCATTAGATGCTTGATTATATCTATATATTCTACCATCTTCACTTGCAGCTAGAAATGAATTCTCGAAAACCTAAAAGATATATTTATTTATATTATTAATTAATTCTTATAAATAATTATTTATTATTAATTTACTAAATTTAATCAACTTTTAGCATTTTTACAGAAATTATTCCACATTAGTAATAATATGAAATCATATCAAAATTAAAAATTATATCTAAAGATAAAAATAAACATAAAACAAATAATTATATAATTATTTTATAATTATATAATTATAAAATATTAATTATTAAGTAAAGTATTAATTATAAAGTAAATAAAAAATAATTCATAAGGTCAAGGAAAATAACAAGTGAAAATTTAAAAATTAATAATTTTTTAAATTTTATTAATT